TCCTATGTCAAGTTGCGGTCAATCTGAAAACCGCTCCAATTGGTCCACCGCTGTTATGTTGTTAAATTTGAAAAAAAGGACTCGGTGTGTTTATATCAGCCCAATATGACGGTCTATACACTATACTTGAGCCTGGTTTATACTTCTGCGTCAAGTGACCGGCGTAACCAAAGGCGCATGCAGCGCGCGTAGCTGTGCATTTATACTTCTGCGCACTGTCTCTGTTGGTCTGCATTAACACTTCCGAAACGCTAGCTGGCAGTGAGGTGTTAATGTGTCTCTGTGTCGAGTTTCTTTGCCTGTGTTTTGTTCTTTCTGAACGCTTCCGGGATGTACAAGTGGCTCAAACTTGCTCATTTTGAGGCAGGAACCGGCGTACGTGCAACAACTTTAATTATGAGGTAAACACAAAACAAAACTTTCTATCCGGAGCTCCTTCACGGGACTCTACACTTGCAAACAATCGCTCCATTGGGCTTGCGACGCTCGCGCAGCTCTCGGTCCCGCCCAGACTCTTAAGCGTAACCAAACCGACCAATCACAGAGCTTGCGCTACGCGTCGTTGCGACGCGTTGCAAATTTTTTTCATCGTAGCATACGCGTGCGCTTGACACAGAAGTATAAATCAGCCTTTACACACATTTCTGTCCAAACAGCTTTAAAAGTAGATTTTTCACCATAGGTGCCCTTTAATGCCACATTAGTAGGGTTGGGTACTGAAACTCGGTGCAATTATAGCAGCGGTACCTTTATATATATATATATATATATATATATATATATATATATATATATATATATATATATATATATATATATATATATATATGTGTGAGTGAGAGTGCGGTTTGTGCTGTGCAAACTCTCCTCTGCTTCTACAATGTCATGAATCCAGTATGATATTCCAGATGTTAATGCAGAGCTCATGACAGATTATACCAGCATGACTTTCAACAAGCTCCCTCTAAACAACACCTAAACAAATGCCAACTCTCGCCCCATATATTCAAGTCTCAGACGGTTTGCTTAAAGACAAGCAGGATCGTCAATACATCTCCATTAGTAGCCCATAAATTCTTGTGTTCGTCAGTCTTCCCTCTATATCCCACAGTTACACTCTCCTGCTGTCTGAGATTACTGAAACAATCACAAACTAAAGTGTGAAATAAAAGCAAAAGATTACAGGCTGTTTAGAGGGACAGTTCACACAAAAATGAATATTCTGTTATTTACTCCCCCTTCACTTGTTCAAAACCTGTTTGAGTTTCTTTCTCCTGTTGAAAACAAAGGAAGATTTACTGTAGAATGCTGGAAAAAACAGCCATTGACTTCCACAGTATTTGTTTTTCCGATCATGGATGTCAATGGCTGCTTTTTCCCCAACATTCTTCAGAATATCTTCCTTTGTGTTCAACAGGAGAAAGAAATTCATAAAACAACTTGAGTGGAATGATCTGTCTGTCTGTCTGTCTGTCTGTCTGTCTGTCTGTCTGTCTGTCTGTCTGTCTGTCTGTCTGTCTGTCTGTCTGTCTGTCTGTCTGTCTGTCTATCTATCTGTCTATCTATCTTCCCTTCTATCAATCTATCTCTTTTTAGATCTGTCTGTCTGTCTGTCTGTATATCTCTCATTTCTTCTACCTATCTATCTATCTATCTATCTATCTATCTATCTATCTATCTATCTATCTATCTATCTATCTATCTATCTATCTATCTATCTATCTATCTATCTATCGTTTTTTAGATCTGTCTGTCTGTCTGTCTATCTATCTATCTCTCATTTCTTCTACCTATCTATCTATCTATCTATCTATCTATCTATCTATCTATCTATCTATCTATCTATCTATCTATCTATCTATCTATCTATCTTCCCTTCTATCAATCTATCTATCTATCTATCTATCTATCTATCTATCTATCTATCTATCTATCTATCTATCTATCTATCTATCTATCTATCTATCTATCTATCTTCCCTTCTATCAATCTATCAATCTATCTATCTATCTATCTATCTATCTATCTATCTATCTATCTATCTATCTATCTATCTATCTATCTATCTATCTATCTATCTTCCCTTCTATCAATCTATCTATCTATCTATCTATCTATCTATCTATCTATCTATCTATCTATCTATCTATCTATCTATCTATCTATCTATCTATCTATCTATCTATCTATCTCTTTTTAGATCTGTCTGTCTGTCTGTCTATCTATCTATCTCTCATTTCTTCTACCTATCCATCTATCTATCTATCTATCTATCTATCTATCTATCTATCTATCTATCTATCTATCTATCTATCTATCTATCTATCTATCTATCGCTTTTTAGATCTGTCTGTCTGTCTGTCTATCTATCTATCTCTCATTTCTTCTATCTATCTATCTATCTATCTATCTATCTATCTATCTATCTATCTATCTATCTATCTATCTATCTATCTATCTATCTATCTATCTATCTATCGCTTTTTAGATCTGTCTGTCTGTCTGTCTGTCTGTCTGTCTGTCTGTCTATCTATCTATCTCTCATTTCTTCTACCTATCTATCTATCTATCTATCTATCTATCTATCTATCTATCTATCTATCTATCTATCTATCTATCGTTTTTTAGATCTGTCTGTCCATGCATTTTTACTAAAAGCGCCATTCAGTGTTATAATTCTATCACTAGTGTATTTACAACATGCATTAGTGGTGTACACTGTAAAAAATGCACACAATTCCTAAGTAAATTGATAATTTTTACAAATTTAAATAGACTGAACATAAAAAGATGTAATGTTTTTGTGTTATTAAAATTAAACAAACAATTCATAAGTCGTTGATGACGTGCAAAAATATAAATGTTTGGATATAAATCACAACATATCCATGAATATTAATAACAATAATAGACTGATTATAATATAATATTATAAATACAAATAAATCTGATATTATTTAAAACATAAATTGTAAGCATGTACATTTGTACACAAAAACATGTGGACTGACAATGAAATATTACTTCACTCATATTTTGCATATTACATAGGTAATGTCAGACATTTTTATATAATTTCTATGTACCTAAAATTACTTTTGCATAATAAATGTGATGTGGATATCTCATTAACCAAGTCCTTATGTTTTATTTATACATATTATCTTCAATAGAGACGGTATTTAATAATAATTTGAAAAATAAAATCAAGTTCTAATGTTTTCGTGTTATCATAAATAAACAAACACATACAATTCATAAATCGATGATGACCTTGTGAAAAAATATAAATGTTTGCATATAAATCACAACATATCCGTGAATATTAATCACAATAATAGACTAATTGTGATGAAAATACATTAAATTTGATCATATTTAAACTAAAAATAAGCAAAATCAGCACAAAGATGCTCTACTGTACAGTAATGATGCTGCGATCGGGAGAAAACCCAACAGATTTAATCTGATGCAACAGATTTCATAATCCCTGCAGATGTCAGATCAGATTATACAGAGATCTAAAACAGGCAGAAATCTAACCACCAAACAGACACGCACAATAAACGTGTATTGTGAAAAATAAAATACATTTACACTGAACATATAACGCTGTAGGCGGTAAACTAACGTTGGATCTGCATCCCGATCATCCTCATCCTCCCTCAGTCAGAAACATCCGAGATTTTCCCGCAAACACACACTCGTGGATGTAGATGAGTTTCTATAGGACATTAAATCAATTTCTTACCTTCAGCTCATCTAAAATCCGCTTTTCTCCGCGTTATTGGCGCATGTGGTTCCTGTCAGTTCCAGCGATTCAGACAAAAGCGAGCAGAGAGAAGAGGGAGGGGAGCTGAGGGAAGAGTTTGGGGCAGATCTGGCGTCAGTCAGCCGCCTTTGCGTCATATGTCCCGCGACTTTTGAGATAAAAGTCCCTGAGAAATTATTTATTGATTTGTTTATTTGTATACAAATTAATGCTGGGCACAGATTAACAATCGCATTCAAAATAAAAGTTTATTTTTATATAATATGTGTGTATTATTTATATTTACTTTGCATATGTGATACACATACATAAAAAAGCAGATTGTTTTTTTATTTTTTGTGCGTTTTTAATGGATGAAAAAATGACAAATTATTATAAATTGCTATTTTTAAGAATGAAGTCATTTTAAAAAGACACAAAGTGGGAAAACGAACACATTTATTGTGTAATAAAAGTCCCTTAACTTGTTTTGATTTGTTCATTTATTTTTTTGTCTTATTTGAAAAAAAAATGCAAGGGTAAAAAGACACAAACAGTACACAATAATTATATGATAAAAGCCCCTAAAATTGATTAATTGATTCATTCATTTGCTGGCATGTTCATCAATTTACTCTTTCAGGAAAAAAAGCCAAAAAGCAAGATATCTATATTCATCATTGAATGATTTTGGTTTCATATATTAAAGACTTTAACTCCCCTGCTACTTAAGTTTCTTTAGCATTTATTTTTTGTTAATTCTGTTGTATTATTTATTTATATATGTTGTATTATTAACGAGGATACTAAGATTGTAAATGTATGCAATTTGATTGTTATCTCAGTCTTTTGTGTAATTCTAAAATTTATTAATGCCTTTCTGTTACTGTTCAACATTGTTAATAAAAAAAACTAAAAAAAAAACTCTTTCAGGACAAAATGGTTTAAAAACTGTAATGATTTAAATATTTTTCGTGCATATCAACTGTACGAAAAATTAGTAATTTCTATCTTTTTTGTTAGAAAAACCAATTTTACCTATAAACGTCTCTGTCAGATCAGAAAGGTATGCTTTTTAGGGAGGGAGATGATTGCTATTTTTAAAGAGCATAGTAATTCCTGATGTTATAGCTTCCATAACAATCGCGAATTTATTTTGGACTTATTGGTATGTTATATGGAAAAATAAATTCAAAGTAATTAATAAAAAAAACTAATACGTTATTCGCGCCATGTCTTAGAGACTTTTATTATGTAAACGTTTCAGACGTCAGGCGTGACGCGTGATCAGCTGGGACTGTGAAGAAAAGCTTTGGCAAGTCAACTTACAAATGTTATTAAATATGAGAGGCGCTGCATATGATTTGTCTTTAATAGTACAGCTGTGATTTGACCAAAGTGACTGTAACTGCCCAGAACTGACGCTCGGCGGCAAAAACGCGGCGGCAAAATCAATTTACAGATGACCCTCCATCAGCATGCAGAACAATGGTGAGATTCTGTTACATCTGGGCTTTGATATTCCCGTCATATTCAGCAGATGATTGTTATGCGTAATGTTATAAAGCAATAGCTATTTTAGCATGCCCATATTAATTTTTCCTTATTAATTATTTAATAATGTAGTACACTCAGTAAATGCATTAATACAACATTAATCGAATTTAAAACAGACATATTTGATTTAATGTTAAATTCTAGTTCATGTTAGACTCTTATAGTGCAACATTTTTGTTTGTTGATTTTGTATGTGTGTGTGTGTGTGTGTGTATGTGTGTGTTTCTTAACCTTGTTAACCCGTGCAGTCACTGTCAAGGACTTGGAAAGGGCACCAGCTTTCAGTTGCTCTTATAAATACATAATTAATCATTGGTTAACATGCATGGTGTTGCATATCTGTATGTTTGTTAAACCGCTGTACAGTAGTATATATACATTTTAACTAACATATTTTAAACTAACATGTGCATTAACAACATACATACATACATATTAACTACAGAACAACATGTAATGGACAGTAGTTCCCAGTGTACTCTACAGCGGTAGTAAAGCTGATGTGTCTAGACAGATCTGACATCCTTTCAGCCGAAGATGATGGTGATGATGACGATGATGATGTTTTGAGCAGAAAGGAGATCAGATTCATTCAAGCTCTGCCAGACAATGATTTTGGCTGCTGTTTTTTGGTACAGCGCCTGGTCTGTGCATGATTTTTTTATATATGATAGAAACCCTGTATATGATTGAAATAATAGTTTTGGATGTGACTTGATACACTCACCGGGCCACTTTATTAGGTACACCTTACTAGTACAAGGTTGGAGCCCTGTTTTCCTTCAGAACTGCCTTAATCCTTCTTGGCATAGATTCAACATGGTACTGGAAATATTCCTCAGAGATTTTGCTCCATATTGACACATTCAAGATGTGAATCTCCTTTTCCACCACATCCTAAATGTGCTTTATTGGATTGGGATCTGGTGACTGTGGAGGCCAGTTGAGTACAGTGAACTCAAGATGTTCAAGAAACCAGTCTGAGATGATTCACGCTTTGTGGACATGGCACAATATCCTGCTGGAAGTAGCCATCAGAGGATGGTTTAAAGTGGTTATTTGAGTTACTGTTGCCTAACTATAAGCTGAATCAAGTCTGGCCATTCTCCTCTGACCTCTGGCATCAACAAGGCTGTTGCTCACTGGATATTTTCACTTTTTCAGACCATTCTCTGTAAACCCTAGAGATGGTTGTTGGTGAAAATCCCAGTAGATCAGCATTTTCTGTAAAAAAAAACTCAAACCAGCCCGTCTGGCACCAACAACCATGCCTCGTTCAAAGTGACTTAAATCCCCTTTCTTCTTCATTCTGATGCTTGCTTTGAGCTACAGCAGATCATCTTGACCATTTCTACATGCCTAAATGCATTGAGTTGCTGCCATGTGATTGGCTGATTAGAAATTTGTGTTAACAAGCAGTTGGACAGGTGTACCTAATAAAGTGGCCAATGAGTGTGTATATAACACATGCCTTCTTTAAAACCGGTGTAATTAAAACGAAAATTTCTAATAAGAATAAAAAATCTAAGCCATGTCAACATGCTTTAATGCATTAAGCTGCTGCCATGTGGTTGACTGATTGAGAAATCAGTTGGACAGGTGTACCTAATAAAGTGGCCGATGAGTGTATATATAGTGGGTATGAAAAGTTTTCAGACCTCCTTCCTTTTTTTTAACAAGATAATGACCCCAAGCACACGGCTAAAACAATGTAGGAGTAGCTTCACAACATGTTTTAGAATGGCCCAGCCATAGACCTGACTCAAACCCAATTGAGCATTTCAGAAGACACCTAAAAATGGCTGTCCATCAACGTTTACCATCCAACCGGATAGAACTGGGCAGGGTCTGCAAAGAGTAATGCAGAGGATCCCCGTATCCAGAGAAAAGCTTGACTCATGTCGACTTACAGCTGTATTGGATCAAAATGGGCCGTCTACTAAATGCAAATACTCAGGACCTTGTGATATTTCAGTTTTTCTTTTTTAATAAATCTGCAAAAATGTCAACAATTCTGTGTTTTTTTGTCAATGTGGGGTGCTCTGCGTACATTAATGAGAAAAACAAATTAACTTAAATGATTTTAGCAAATATAACAAAGAATAAACAATGTAAGGGGGTCTGAACACTTTCCGTACTCTCTATGTATGTTATGGATGCATGAAAGTGTGATATGTGCTTGAGAGTGTTAAAAGTTGATAAATCAATTATAAGAGAATTAAGGCCCTAAAAAGGTATTAAAAAGTATTAATCCCATTTTTACGAGGTCTTAAATTTTGTCCAAAGTGTTTGACTCCAAAAAAAGCATAAATATGTTTATTTTCCTCCATGGGTTCAGGCTCATGTCCAACAAAGCTCCTCTGTCCGTGTGATGTTATGTAATTTGCGACAAACACGGGAAGGTGATGTGATGCTCTTCACAACTAGCGAAACCATGGCATGGAGCAAAACAGACATCAAAATGTGATAATGCAAGCTTGCGTACTCCTGGTTGGAGAAAGACGAGTTTAAACAGTGGCTGAAGCTCGTCACTGAAAACAGCCATGCAATTTTTTCTTTCAAGCTTTGTTTCTTCTGAGCTTATCTGAGTTCTGTTGCACGGTTGCGCTCCATTTATTTATTTATCTACAACTGTTTATTAACAGCTGTTTATTAAGTAAAAGGTTTAATACTGATTAGAACTGAGGATGAGGTCTTAAAATATTGAGAGAAGGTCTTTAAAAACTCTTAAGGTATTTAAATTTCCTTACAGCTGTATTGGATCAAAATGGGGCGTCTAAATACTGAGCAAATACTCAGGACCTTGTGATATTTCAGTTTTTCTTTTTTAATAAATCTGCAAAAATGTCAACAATTCTGTGTTTTTTTCTGTCAATGTGGGGTGCTCTGCGTACATTAATGAGAAAAACAAATTAACTTAAATAATTTTAGCAAATATAACAAAGAATAAACAATGTAAGGGGGTCTGAACACTTTCCGTACTCTCTATGTATGTTATGGATGCATGAAAGTGTGATATGTGCTTGAGAGTGTTTGGTTTGTTTCATAGGACTCTAATGGAGCTGCATGAGCTGAGATCGAGCCGGTGCCTTTTATGGAATGAAATCCAAGCAAAGCCAGGTAAGTAAAACATGTATTTGCTTTTCAGGCAATTTTTTTTGTGTGATGAAAAATGCTGCGGACAGGCAGAAAAGCAGAGCCGGACTGTCCGTTTTATGTTTTGCAGATCCACTAATTGTCATCCTCTGTCTCCAGAATCGGATAAATGAACTCCAGTGAAGCTTCAGCTCAGCCAAAAGCCCCTCATGTCGTTTCTGGTGAGAGTCAAGTCTTTTGATTCTGCGCAGTTCTGTTTGTCATGCTTTCTGTGTTTATTTCCACAGTTGTTGAGCATCTGAGCATGAGGGATTTGATTCTGGAGTGGGTTTAGCATTGGCTGCTGCTTTATGGGCTGATGTTCACTGAGCAATATCCATGGCCTGATTCTTCTCTAATCCCCTAGATAGCAGCACATTTAATAATAAACGGCCTCATTAATATCCATTTCACCCCTGTGTTAATGTCTCGCTCACCCGGAAATGTTTCGGGTTCGGGGAAGGTTCTGTAAGCATGAATCGGTTTATAAAAACAGACAGTTTGTTTGCAGTAATGCATGCAAGGATCCTGTTTCACTTGATAATAAATTAATAAATAAATAAATACTATCAAAATTATTAATAGATGATAAATTTGCAGCAGCACAAAATGTTCTTTAATAAAACAAGACTTTGACATCAAGTATTGGGAAGTTAACCACTTAAACTCTGCGGACCGGGTACCGGGTCCATGACGTCATTGACTTTCACTTTCAGATTTAAAGGGCTAGCTTTGCACCAGACCCCCGTAAGTGATGTCGTTTGAAAGTGTAGAATCTATATTTTATGCACATATGCATCACTTTGGTTTTTATCCTACTGTATAAAAGTTATTTACACTTAAATACACAGTATTTTGGATACCCGAGCTGGGTATTTTACATTGGTTCATTTTCATATTTTTTTATATGACACATGTACGAGTTATAGCTCAAATGAAAGCTCTTGCCGGTGCTCATACAGTTCTAGCTTTATTTTTACTGAATTATATTCATATGCCAAACAGTTGTCGAATGAATTGTGGTGTTTCCATGGCGCAGAAGTGAAAACAATACATTTATGATCAATAAGCAGCCCCAGATAGCACAGACAGCTCTCATCTCTTACCTTATGCTGTGCTCTTCAGGGCCATTTCTCCTCTGTTTTTGAGGTGATGTGCATAAGTAATCCTTTTATATGTCTGACGTGGTCCAAACACAGTGAATTATGTTTGATCAAACAAAAGAATAGTGAAATATGTAAACAAGGATCGATCCCTGTGGCTTATACAGCACCTCTTATCAGTTGGAATACAATAACTTTTGCATAGATTATGGTAGAGACATTTTTCTTTTTTCCTATGATTACAGACATGTGCAGGAACCACCAAAATTAATTACAGCACACTAGACCACACACAACCTAAAAGGTACACTTTCAAATTTGAGTTTATAAAAAAAATACAAAAAGCGCCTCTTTTTAGGTGTTTATTATAACACAGACGACATATACAGTTATTTTAAACACTTTCAATGGTGTTTTATGAAAATTCAAAGGGTTTTCTTTAAAATGATACTAAATTTTTGCATTTACACCTCTGCATGTGCATTTAGGAAGCTTTTAAAATGGGTAGGCAAAATCCAGGCGGAAATGCCTAAATAGCAGCAGAGTTTAAGTGGTTAAAGGAAGCATTCTTATTTCATTAAAATCAAATATGATTTAAATAAGTCAAAATGAGTTCATTTAATTGATGTTAAATGTTTTTTGTCTAAAAAGAACGCTTTGCAAGTATATTTTGGAACATTACACTGGCTGAAGCTTGTAGAACTGAGGATGAGGTCTTAAAATATTCAGAGAAGGTCTTTAAAAAGTCTTAAAAAGGTATTGAAATTTCCTTTAGGGTTTCTGCATGTACCCTGTATTAATAGTTAGTAATGTAGAAGTTGGGTTTAGGTATTGGGTAGATTAGAGATGCAAAATGAGATCATTCTTTAAAACTACCAATCAATTACTTAAACAGTGCTGCAAGACACTTTTGGTTTTAAAAGTCAGAACTTAGAAGCTGTAATTTGATTAAAAATAAAATGAAGAAATAATCAGCTGAATAAAAATAAATAGTAAATTATTTAGATGTGTAAAAAATTCACTGTTACTACTGTTGCTGATAACACTAAATGTAGAAATCTAACATTATAATTTGTACAACCCATATATATATATTTTTTGGTCTCATTTTTAATAAATGATTGAGTTATTCACTCATAAAACTTCATGTTTCATTGCTAGATGTGTCATTTTTGAGGAATTATTTAGTGGCATGTTTTTGATGTCTGGTTGTCGCCACCTATTGGTTAAATAATGTAATTGCTGCCTGCAACTTTTACTTTTGAGCGTCGTTAAATGCATATGACAATGATTTTAATCTTTACTATAAACATCAGTGGTTATATCTAAACTATAACCTGCTATTTTGTCATTTGACTGTTTGTAAACTAAAGACTGAATCTCTTTCTTGATTTTTTTAATTTTTCAAACACAGATTTGAATCCAGCGATTTAAAGGATTAATAAACATATGCAGATCACCATCATTTATAATCTATGTTGCATGGGTGTTGAGATCCCGATCTTTTAATGAATAATTGTGCAGCTTACACTGAACACATTATTCATTCATTCATTCATTTATTTTCATGTCGGCTTAGTCCCTTTATTAATCCGGGGTCGCCACAGCGGAATGAACCGCCAACTTATCCAGCAAGTTTTTACGCAGCGGATGCCCTTCCAGCCGCAACCCATCTCTGGGAAACATCCACACACACATTCACACACACACTTATACACTACGGACAATATAGCCTACCCAATTCACCTGTACCGCATGTCTTTGGACTGTGGGGGAAACCGGAGCACCCGGAGGAAATCCACGCGAAGGCAGGGAGAACATGCAAACTCCACATAGAAACGCTAACTGAGCCAAGGTTCGAACCAGCGACCCAGCGACCTTCTTGCTGTGATGCGACAGCACTACCTACTGCGCCGCTGCCTCGCCCTGAACACATTAATGCAGACTAAACAAGTAGTGACAGAAAACACCTTTAATAACCTAAGAAACCCACCACATCTTGAATAACCCACCACAGACTTCTTCCGTCATCGTTATATTTTACAGTAAAGCCTAAATGCTGTCATACATGTGATTTGAATGACGTGAGAGGCGATCTCTTTATGATAGTTACAAATTTAGGATTAATCTACAAGTAAAAAAAATAATTAATTCACAGTTTTGTGATCCGTATGATTCACACAGATCAAATGTGATCTGTTGCACCTCCATCATTTACACATTTTTTTGAAGTTGAACTTGTTACAGTGTTACTAACTACCTTGAAACAATAATTAGTAACATGTACTCACTATATGATTATGATTAGAATGCGGTTTAGAATAAATTCATTAATCATAATTACTATAGTAAGTGTAAGAAAGACACCTTAAGATAAAGTGTTACTAAGAAAACAACATCACATTTCCACTAATGTACTTGCAAATGATTCTTTTATATAATAAACAATGTTTTGCTCTGAACACGAAAGATTTCCGTAATCATCTCTTCCCTTTGCCGTCTTTCTCTGCCTGTTTCATTTCAACCCTCACTCATTGGATGTGCGCTCACATTTGTGAATGCTCATTTGCATATTCATCAGTGGGGCGGGGGCGTGTCTCATGTCTCCTCCCCTTTTCCTCCCAGGACTGCACCTGTATCTCCTCCCACTCACAAGTCCAGTCCATCAGCATAGAGGAGCAGTATGAAGACATCAGCCATCAGTGCTCGGTCAGTAATCATAGAGGCTCATCATAGATCCTGCTGTAGAGAAGACACTCAGAGGCATTCGTTCACACTGATTCAGTGGCTGCAGAACTAAACCCATTGCCTTCAAATGATTAAGTCAATGAATTATGTGCATAATTATACAAATTAAGTTGACTCATCTTAACAGTTCCTCGTTACAACAAACAGGTTTACTTGCTTTTTTCATCACTGCATATTGAACACAAGCTGACGTTGTTGTTGTGTGTTCTTAGACGCTGAGGGCATCCATTGTGTTGGGAAGCACAAAGCCGTTTTTCTTGTCCATCAGTTTGAATGAAAGCTCACTTGTGCTGGTTTAGTCTCGTGTGTTTGGCTCAAGGATAAATCAGCTGTTTGTTCGCTGAAATTTGGTCGATATCCCAATTTTTGGTCTTTTTCTGCAGAGATTTTGCTCTATAGAGGCTTTTCAGTGATTCAGTGTAGAAAATAAACACTTGTGAAGGAAGTTCAAGACTAAGGGGCTCTAATTTGACGATCCATGCGCAGAGTGCAAAACGCAGGGCGCAAACGCTTTCAGAACACATTTTTGCTAATTTATGGACGGGAAAATCTGCTTTGCGCCATGGCGCATGGTCTAAAAGGGTTGAGTTTATTTTCTTAATGAGTTATAGGTGTGTTTTAAGGAATAAACCAATCAGAGTCTCATCTCCCGTTCCCTTTAAGAGCCAGCTGCGTCGCGCCAAGAGCGCATTCGCTATTTACAGGACGCAAAGTAAGTCTAAGTGGCAAAACTGAGCATTTCACTAGCAAACAGTTAACAGTTTTTATAACAGAAAACAATTAAACAGAGCATCCACCGTGTGAGAATGAGAGATAATGGATCACTTTCGCTCGTGAATAGGGAAACCTTTACACACAGACATCAATTAGCCTATAATAAGCATATAATAATTAATTGCATTTGTTAAGCGCAAATATTAGTGTCAAAACTATTTCTAAATTCAGTTCTAATTTCCAGCAAACGAATAAATGAACAATAATAACAAAATGTGCTCAAAAACCTGAGTTATATCCTAAAACACATGCTGTGCTCCATATGGTCTAAAACCTGACAGGTGGGCAAATCTAAGCTTGTTTTTAATAAAACAAATATAAATATGGATATAATAAATAATACTGCTAATAATAATAACATTATACAAAAGCAAATTGTTATGAATGAACTGAAAAAGCCTCCTGAGATGAAGAAGACATAAAAGCAGTGCTTTTTCATATTTATGTAGGCTAGAAAATAATGTTTTGTAATATTTAATCCTTTATATTTATATCCTATATCTATTCTTATTATATCCTATATATATCCTTAATATTTATCATGAATTTTTCGTGAATCATCTCAGACTGGTTTCTTGAACATGACAATGAGTTCACTGTACTCAAATGGCCTCCACAGTCACCAGAGCTCAACCAATAGAGAATCTTTGGGATGTGGTGGAACGGGAGATTGGCATCATGGATGTGCAGCTGACAAATCTGCAGCAACTGCGTGATGCCATCATGTCAATATGGAGCAAAATCTCTGAGGAATATTTCCAGCACCTTGTTGAATCTACGCCAAGAAAGATTAAGGCAGTTCTGAAGGCAAAAAAAAAAGGGTCCAACCTGGTACTAATAAGGTGTACCTAATAAAGTGGCCAATGAGTGTATACGAAAGTTTTTCTTGTGTTTTTCTTTGTTTCTTAATTTTTCTTTATTTAATATGCTCAATTATCATTATGAGTTTCAAGTTTTGATTTTAATTAAGGTTTAGTGTTCAGGATTTATCGGTTTAACTTTTTGTCTTTGCGTATTCATATATATATATATATATGTGTGTGTGTGTGTGTGTGTGTGTGTGTGTGTGTGTGTGTGTGTGTGTGTGTGTGTGTGTGTGTGTGTTTATTATGTGTTTGTGGTTTGTTTGTGGGTGTGTTTGTTACATGTGTGTGTGCTCGCAACGGGTGTGTGTGTGTGTGTGTGTGTGTTTGCTACATGTGTTTGTGTGTGTTCATTTGTGGATGTGTGTGAGTGTTTGTAATATGTGTGTTCATATTTGTTTGTGTGTGTGGCAGAGCACAGATGTCTCTCCGTGTTCGGTGTTGACGGATGCCGATGACATCACAGATCTGTCCACTGACTCCGCCCACTATCAGCTCCTGTCACCACTGGGTACTAAAACATCAATCTCTTCATGCATTTCCTCAAGTATCATTAATGTCAGGTAGCAGCATAATTCTGAATTAGAAGCATCATCGTGTGTGTGTGTGTGTGTGTGTGTGTGTGTGTGTGTGTGTGTGTGTGTGTGTGTGTGTGTGTGTGTGTGTGTGTGTGTGTGTGTGTGTGTGTGTCTGTCTGTCTGTCTGTCTGTCTGTTTGTGTGTGTGTGTTTTTGTGTGTGTGTGCAGGCCGGGGCTTTAATAACCTCAGTCATGTGAGTGTGGCACGTCACACTCCGTCTGGCCGTCTGGTGGCCGTGAAAAACACAAACCTGGACGAGTGTACAGAAGACGAGCTCCTGCAGCTGATGGTGTGTTTCATTATATCATTTCAATTCTGTTTTAAAATGAAGCTTCATCAGATTAACCCTATGAAGCACAACATAATTAAAAACCAAACAAAAATGTAACTTCTGGACAAGTCCTCTGTCTGAAAGTTGAGATAAGATTAGATTCTGGGGTTTATAGTTAATACATTGGATTAATTAAATAATCACTGCAAAGATGAACTTCTCAATGACTTTATAAATCATTCTTTCCATTTCTTTTCGGCTTAGTCCCTTTATGAATCTGGGGTCGCCACAGCAGAATGAACCGCCAACTTATCCAGCATATGTTTTTATGCAGCGGATGCCCTTCTAGCTGCAACCCATCACTGGGAAACATCCACACACGCTCATTCACACAAACACAGTACGGCCAGTTTAGTTTATTCAATTCCCCTATAGCGCATGTGTTTGAGCTGTGGGAGAAACCAGAGCACCCGAAGAAAACCCACACCAACATGGGGAGAACACGCAAACTCCACACAGAAATGCCAACTGGACCAGTGTCCTTCTTGCTGTGAGGCATATGTGTGAAACATATGCTGGATTAGTTGGCGGGTCATTCCGCTGTGAGGATTCCTGATGAGTAAAGTCAATGGAAAATGAATGAATGAATGATTTTTTAATTTAAGGCAAAATGACCACCATGAGGACTGACAGCATTAAAGTCAGTAAATAATGAGTGTGGTCATTTTTGGTTAACAGATCTTTTGTAGATAAGCTGATTGTGCTGTGCATTGATAGTTTGTGTGTATTACTGATGGTTTTCCAGAATGAGGTTCTTCTGTCCAGACGGTTCCGGCACCCGAATCTGCTGACGTCCAGACTGGTGTTCAGCTCCTGCTGTCAGCTCTGGGTTCTGGCTCCTCTTATGAGCTACGGTGAGAAAACAACACCAATATCTGTGCCTAAAGTAAAATCTGGAGAAAAAAGTATATAAGTTTTAGTTGATTTTTGAACCTTACTTGGTATTTTTGACTTAATTCATGTCTGTCTCTATCACTGACTGCTGTTTATCTGACATAACGCATGAGAAATGGTGGGCGGGGAGAACCAGCTCATTTGCATTTAAAGGCACAGGCTACAAAACACAGCGACACTTTGATTTGAGCTCAAAATGGGCATATTCTGCATTGTATAATAGATGATCTCAGGGGCATCGTTACACCCTATTTACTGGGGCACGTGCCCCAGTAAAAATCACCTTGAGTCGGGTCTAAGACAGCACACAACTGACAGTTCTATAAAACATCTTTTGTATTCCTGTAGAGTTGTCTATAGAATTTCATTATAATAAATTAATATTCATGCAAAAGATTTCTTAAATTATCTTAGCATCACTCCAGTTGTGTCTTTAGATTGTTTTCCAGTTACATTTAGGATTAATTTCTGTTATTTATTTAGAATAATAATTGTATATGCCCAATAGTACTGCTATTTAATTTTTTTGTTTTAGAATATATATAAAATAGCACAGGTCAGTGTGCTGAGCAAATTTGCATTAATTTGGTTTCGTGGTTGGAGTGAGATTTCGATGAGGGTCACAAGTGCCTAATGAGGTTTTGATGATGTCATTTTTTAAATTATTATTAATATTCTGTTATTGTTGTTCAAGACATTGTTTAGATGCCATGGACCATTAAATGTCCTAGTAAGAATTTGTTTTCTTATGTAAAGTCTCAATTTGTACTGTTGAAAAATTAATTTTATTTATTTGCAAAATGTTTTTACAAAGTTACATAAGTGCATTTTTACTGATTATATTACTGTATTTACTTGGATAATTTGTATTTATTTATTTATTTAGTTGTTTATTTTGTTTATTAATTGAGTTGTTTAAATTAAAACATATATATTCATTATAATTATTTGAATAATTACTATTAGAATTATTAGAAATATAATTGTTATTTTTAATGCAAAAAGCAAAACAAATTAAAAATGAGTCAAATAAAAAAAATAATTAGAACCTAAATCAAGCAGACTAAAATAAAATAAAAACTGCAAGAAAATCTTCTCCCCGTTAAACAGAAATTGGAGTAAAAACATAAACAGGGGCCTAATAATTCTGACTTTAACTGTATATATATATATATATATATATATATCATCCAGGGGCGATGCTAGACTTATAGCTCTACTGGGGCACAGCACCCCCTCCCAAAAAAAAAAAAAAAAAAATAAATTATATATATATATATATATATATATATATATATATATATACATTATTATTATTTTTTTTTTTTTTGGGAGGGGGTGCTGTGCCCCAGTAGAGCTTTAAGTCTAGCACCGCCCCTGGATGATCTGATGAGTATTTTGAGCTGAAACTTTACAGACACATTCTGGAGACACTGAAGACCTACCTTACATGAGGATAAAATAGGAGGTGTGCTCTCTTTATGTGTCTCAATCAGGTTCTGCAGACTCTCTGCTCAGGTCGTATTTTCCAGACGGGATGAGCGAGTCTCTAATGGCGTATCTGCTGTACGGTGTCCTGCGAGCGCTCGAGTACCTGCATCACATGGGATATGTGCACAGGTGAGGACACGGTGGCTGGTTTACAGAGCCGTGAATCTGAATCCAGGTTCAGACCGTTTCCTGTTTGTCCTGCAGGGGTGTGAAGGCCAGTCATGTGCTGCTGTCGGCTGAAGGAAGAGTGTGTCTGTCGGGTCTTCAGAGTGTCTACAGTTTGATGAAGGACGGGAAGAGGATGAGAGCCGTGTTCGACATGCCTCAACACAGTCCATCTCTCCTGCCCTGGCTGAGCCCTGAGCTGCTGAGACAGGTCATTCTTTAAAGTTGTCTAAATGAAGCACTTGGAAATGCACATTACTAATCAAAAATGTGAGGTTTTATATATTTAAAGTAGGAAATGTACTAAATATCTTTATGGAGTTGTAAGAGCAAAAAATAATGACTTCTAGTTGATCATTTGGAAATGTGGCAGAAGGTGGATTTTTCTGATGAATCATCTGTTGAACTGCATCACAATCATCACTAATACTGCAGAAGACGTACTGGAACCCGCATGGACCCAAGATTCTCACTGAAATCAGTCAAGTTTGGTGAAGGAAGAATCATGGTTTGGGGTTACATTCAGTATGGGGGCTGTGCGAGAGATCTGCAGAGTGGATAGCAACATCAACAGCCCACTGTTGCCAACTATTTACAACGAAAAGGCGCTAAGCTCTGCCCTAAAAGTCGCTAGATTACATCATACGTTAATTTGCATATTTATGACGTCATCACGTTCTACCATTTCTGTTTGTTTAACAGTCTATGGTTAATAAAGGGGTATTTATATTTGCACTATGCTTTATGTTGGCGTGTCAATTCAACTAAATCAATTGCTGTTTGAATAAAATATATCAGTATAGATGTGAAGTAAATTTGCAGCAGTCTCTCAGATGTATTAAACTCAGCCAAGTTTCGAAACTCTCCTTTAAAATATCTGTGATTGTGAACAAGAAAATAATAAGGGGTCAAATTAAATTGTTAAAATAAAGAAGAAACAGATCGGTTTGACTGTACAAGGGAAATACCTTCACATTGCTGGTGCTAAATCATTTGCCGTTGGTACGCAAAGGAGAGATCTACTCTAGGGCTGGAGACGAGAGAGGCTGCCGTACGAGGACTAGGCCGCCTGTCAGTGCTCTGAGGCGGGGGAGGGGCCGGGCGGCATCACCCGCAGCTCGTTGAGAAGAGTAGGGACGGTACAGTATGGACAAATGACAGTCTATAAAAATCTCCAGTAACACGAAACAGTCGCTAGATTTGTTGCTAGTCGCTTTTTTGAAAATTTGTCACTAGGGGGGGTCTGAAAAGTTGTTAAATCTAGCGACAAAAGTCGCTAAGTTGGCAACACTGCAACAGCCTGAGGTATCAAGACATTTGTGCTGCCCATTACATTACAAACCACAGGAGAGGGCAAATTCTCCAGCAGGATAGCGCTCCTTCTCATACTTCAGCCTCCACATCAAAGCTCCTGAAAGCAAAGGAGGTCAAGGTGCTCCAGGATTGGCCAGCCCAGTCACCAGACATAAACATTATTGAGCATGTGTGTGGTAAGATGGAGGAGGAGGCATTGAAGATGAATTCAAAGAATCTTGATGAACTCTGGGAGTCCTGCAGGAACGCTTTCTTTGCCATTCCAGATGACTTTATTAATCAGTGATTTGAGTCAGAGATGTATGGATGCAGTCCTCCAAGCTCATGATGGAGTCAGACACAATATTCATTCTGTCTCCACTTCAGCATGACTTTATATTCTATACTGAACATTATTTCTGTTCAGTGTCAAGACTTTTGTCTAAGCAAGTCAGACTTTACAGTCATAACTAAATCATTAATAATCAAGGCATGATCATATTTTATTTTAGTAAATAGGTGTAATCTAGAGGCCTTTGTCTTTCATATAAGCCACTTCTGATACCAAATGATCAACTAGAAGTCACGTTATTATTTGTTGTTCCTAAAACTTGAATAGGCGACAAGACTTTTGTCAGGTGGTGTATACGATAATGTTTTAAACTGTTTTGAAATAATAACAATACTATCATATATGATACAATATGATACACACCCTACCACCAATATTTTATATGTTCATGATACAGTAGAGATAATGATGTATTTTTGTTTCTGCAGGATCTTCATGGTTATGGGGTGAAGTCAGACATCTACAGTCTGGGGATCGTGGCATGTGAGCTGGTCAGTGGCAGAGTGCCATTTCAGGACATGCCGCCCACTCTGGTACTGCCGTCTAGATATTCAGTAATTCAGTATATCATGATAATGAACATGTACAATATTGACTGTCGCCTCACAGCAAGAAGGTCGCTGGTTCGAGTCCCGGCTGGGCCAGTTGGCATGGAGTTTGCATGTTCTCTCCGTGTTGGCGGGTGCTCTGGTTTCCCTCACAGTCCAAACACTAGCGCTATAGAGGAATTGGATTAACTAAATTGGCGGTAGTGTATGAGTGTGTGTGAATGAGAGAGTGTATGGGTGTTTCCCAGTATTGGGTTGCACCTGGAAGGGCATCTGCTGTGCAAAACATATGCTGGATAAGTTTGCGGGCCAACTTTTCCAGCATATGTTTTACACAGCGGATACCCTTTCAGCTGCAACCCATCACTGGGAAACATCCATACATACTCATTCACAGACATACACTACAGTCAATTTACCTAATTCACCTATTCCATATGTGTTTGGACTGTGGGGGAGAACGTGCAAACTCCACACAGAAATGCCAACTGACCCAGCCAGGGCTCGAACCAGCAACCTTTTTGCTGTGAGGTCATTGTGCTACCCACTGCGCCATCGTGCTGCCCTTACTGAATAAATGTAACATGTACATCCTCCAGATGTTGCTTCAGAAGCTGCGGGGATCTCACTGTTGTCTCCTGGACGTGCCTCCGTACCCTCTGGGTGGAATGGGTGCGCTGAAGGTGTCCCGCTCGGGGGTGGATTCGGGGATTGGGGAGAGTGTGGCGACTGGCAGTCTGACCCGCACTGCTACTGCGGAGCGACCGCAGAGTCCCGCTCCCAAAAACCACTCAGCCACACTGCACAACCTGGTGCAACTATGTTTGCAGCAGCAGCCTGAGCGCAGGTACACATTTCAGATAGGGTTGTCACGATACTTAATTTCCAGATTTGTGTGTGTTGAGCATCAGTTAAGATGGCAAAATGGTAATTGGTAAATATTTAATTAACCCTATATAACGTGTGTGTGCTTGTTTATTTGTGTGTGCATGTGTGTGTCTTTCAGGCCATCTGCGACAGCTCTCCTCAACCATCCCTTCTTCAGACAGGTAAATTCACTAGGTTAAAAGTACTCTAACCCTTGGTTTTGCCCACAATTCATTGTGCGTTGGATGTGAATTCAATTAGAACTACAAACACGGTAAAAAAAGGATAACAAAACTACAAACATGGTGAACACTGAAAATTATATGGAAAGGCTTTGGTAAAGATGTTTAAATGGTTTTTAATTAAAATCTAACCTCATAGAAAACATTTATTTGTCATAAATGTCCCTTCCTTACTGGTAGTGGATTAGGAGATTCCCCCCATTGTGTAAAGCACTTTGAGTGTCCAGAAATGCGCTATATAATGTAAGGAATTATTATTATTATTATTATATTATTATTATTATTATTGTTGTTGTTGTGGTTGTTGTTATTATTGTTATTATTATAATTATTGTTGCTGTTGGTATTATTATTATTGGTATTGTTGTTATTATAATTATTATTGTTGTTGTTGTTATTATTATTGTTATTGTTGTTATTATTGTTGTTGTTATTATAATTATTATTATTGTTGTTGTTGTTATTACTGTTATTATTATTATTGTTGTTATTATTATTATTATTGTTATTATTATTAGTTGTTATTACTGTTATTATTGTTGTTGTTGAAGTTATTATTATTATTATTATTATTATTATTATTATTAATGTTGATGTTATTATTATTGTTATTATTATTAGTTGTTATTACTGTTATTATTATTATTGTTGTTGTTGTTGTTGTTATTATTATTATTAATGTTGTTGTTATTTTCTACTGATTATTATTATTATTATTTTATTATTATTATTATTATTATTATTATTATTATTATTATTATTATTATTAATAATATATTCAGCATTGTATTTAATCTGCAACAACAATGTAAACTTTTAGAACTTTTGAAAGCATACTTCTGCAAACACCTGAAAAGATTTGCTGCAGTTTATTTAATATGGTAGGCAATTAAATATAAAAAAAAATGTGAATGATATGAAAAGATGATTGAAAGGGCACATATCTTAGCAACAGAATGATGAAGTAGTATGCCCAAAAGCTTGGATACTCTTCTGTTACACACTCAAAAGTATCCCTGTCTACCTACTGAGTAATCCATGTATTGATCTATGTTTTCCAGGTGAAGAAGCACACGAGGGACTCTTTCCTCAGTCTGATGTATCCTGCTGTGCCAGTGTCCTGCCCTCCAGACACGCCTCCGTCCCAAACCCCAACCCAGACCTGCAACACGCCGTCTCCCACTGATCCTGAGCCAGAGGACGGTCTGTGGGACTTCTAACGTTCACTGTCTTCCTCACACAAACCTCTACATGAGCAACTAGCAATTAATCCTAACAACTGCTGCATTCTGCTGTTTATTTGATTAGTATTTGTAGTGCTACGTTAGCCCCGCCCACAGTGAAATCTTATTGGTTTAAATCCTCTTGTTATGAACCGATATATTAATGATGACGTCATCCTGCACTTAAAGGGGTGTCTATGATTAGTATTTGTTAAAAAATGTTTAATTGTTCATTAATTGTAGTATTACATTTGCTCCGCCCACAGTGAAATCTCATTGGTTTAAATCCTCTTGTTATGGACCGATATATTAATGATGACGTCATCCTGCACTTATGGGCGTGTCTATGATTAGTATTTGTAAAACAAAAAAAAAACATTTTATATTTGTAGTACTATGTTAGCCATGCCCACGGTTAAATTTAATTAGTTTAAATCCTCCTGGTATGGACTTATGAATTGATGATGATGTCATCCTGCACTTATGGGTGTGTCTATGATTTTTGTAAAAAAAAAATTAATTAATGTTTAGTAGTTGTAGCACTACGTTAGCCCCACCCACAGTAAAATCTCATTGGTTTAAATCCGTTTGGTATAGACCATTATATTGATGATGACATCATCCTGCACTTATGGGCGTGTCTATGATTAGTATTTGTTAAAAAATGTTTAGTAGTTCATTAATCGTAGTACTACATTAGCCCCGCCCACAGTGAAATCTCATTGGCTTAAATCCTTTTGGTATGATCCAATAAATTGATGATGACGTCATCCTGCACTTATGGGCGTGTCTATCATTAGTATTTGTTAAAAAATGTTCAGTAGTTTATTAATCGTAGTACTACATTAGCCCCGCCCACAGTGAAATCTCATTGGCTTAAATCCTTTTGGTACGATCCAATACGTTATTGATGACATCATCCTGCACTTAGGGCATGTCTATGATTAGTATTTGTTAAAAAAAAGGATTAGTATTTGTAGTACTACATTAGCTCCGCCCACAGTGAAACCTCATTGGCTTAAATCTTCCCCTTATGGACCGATATATTGATGATGATATCATTCTGCACTTATGGGCGTGTCTATGATTAGTATTTGTAAAAAAAAAGTTTAATATTTGTAGTACTATGTTAGCCCCGCCCACAGTTAAATTCATTAGTTTTAAATCCTATCGGTATGGACTTATAAATTGATGATGTCATCCTGGACTTATGGGTGTGTCTATGATTAGTATTTGTTAAAAAATGTTTAGTAGTTAATTAATTGTATTATTAGATTAGACCAGCCCACAGTAAAATTTAATTGGCTTAAATCTGTTTGGTATGGACCAATATATTGATGATGACGTCATCCTGTGCTTGTGGGCGTGTCTGTGATTAGTATTTCTGAAAAAAGAAAGTTTAGCATTTGTAGTACTATGTTAGCTCCGCCCACAGTGAAATCTCATTGGTTTGAATCCTCTTTCTATAGACCAATACACTGATGATGACGTCATCCTGTGCTTGTGGGCGTGTCTATGATTAGTATTTGTAAAAAAAAAAAAAAAAAAAAGATAATTAAAAGTTTAGTATTTCTATAACACGTTAGCCCCGCCCACAATGAAATCTCATTAGTTTAAGTCGTCCTTGACCAAAATGTTGATAATGACATCATCCTGCGCTTATGGGCGTGTCTTTGTTTCTAGCCTATCATATGCTCTCTAGAATGAGCACAAATTAGCGAACGTTTCATGCATTAGCACATTAGCATCTGTATAGTCATTGTTAATGGCTGTGGCCTACACTAAAAGCTGTCAGCTAGGGCTGGAGGATTGGTCAAAATAAAGATGATCTTGGGATATAGTGTGATTATCAAATAACATTATCAAATAAGTGCAATTTTATTCATTAAGTATATGTGAAGCAGTTTATGATCCAGTGTGTTCTGCCTCTCTGAACGGCTCAGTTCCCAAAAAAGAATAATAATAAAATAAAACTGGGCTGTCTGAAAAATCAAGACATAATAATACCATAAATATTAGTGTTGTCGTTTTACACATGTTCTATTTTTATTACTTTTTAAAATAAATCTAGTATTATAATTTTACAGTGAAGTATTGCAGCGCTAACATTTCTTATTGTGCTTAATTTTGAAGCAATCTTGAGGGAATAATTCTCATTATTTTAATAACTAATAAATATTTATAATCTTATTACAATGCCATTTCAACACAAATCTTTATTTTTTATATTTTAATTTAGTAGCAATAATTAATGCATTAGGATTTTCTTAAATATAGTAATTCTGTAAAATATTAATTTCAATGCTTCTTATTTTGCTCATTTTCATAATAATCATAAAACATTATATAAATATAAATTTCACAGTGACACTATGGTACTACTTTTTATTTTTATATTCTTATTTTGAATCTTTTTGTATCAATACTATGTTATTATGATTATTAATATTATACTGAATATTATACTGTTATTATACTGAATAAATATATGTAAATATTTCCCCTAAATCATGCATCCTTTTTTAATATTTAATTAATTTCTTTTAATAAAAGACAAGCTCCTTTGGTCATGTCTCAACACAAATCGATTAAGTTAATGTAATAATTTTGAAATATTTAAGTAGATTGAACTTAAAACAATTAAGTTGTCCCAAAACAATCAAAGAATTGTGTTGTTTCAACTCATTTTAAATAAGTAGTATACTAGAAAAAGTCATTTTTAGAGTGTACAGTTAAACCGTTCATAAATATCAACACTATATGCTCTGTCTGACTGTAATATCATCACTTTATGCAACATTTGACTTTTCAATTGTTTTTTATGGGCAGAAAAATGCCATGATAAGTGATAGAAGCTGGTTGAGATGCACTGTGACTTGTGTCTTATTCCCTGCTGTGAGCTCTTCTTCTGTGTATACTGCACTCGTGTAGTAGTTACAATTCAGTAGTTTACCAAAGTATTCAACGCATACTGTGCTCATACTACCGTAATGGCTGTTTGTTTGCTCTAAACCCTGTCATAAATCATAAAATAGCTGCAGATCACTGGATTTGATCATCAGACTGAGCCGTTTGTGTGTGTTTATACCTCAGTGTTCATATTTCTAAACCCCTCCTCTTCCTCGAAATGAAGAACCTGCAGACGATTAATCCTGTGAAGAAATGTATGGAGTCAAAATACTGTCATAAATATTTAATGCGTGAATCAAATCCATTAAAGCGTATTTACATCTAAAAGCGTACGATTTTGGAAGTGTCGCTTCATAAAAATCACAATTTTTTTCAGTTTTTTTTTGTTGTATTTTTTGACGTTTTTATAATAACACGTGCACAGGTTTGATATTTCATGGGTTTAAATATTTTTGACAGTCTTTTCACTCCATAAGGAAACACCAATGCTGTGCAACATATCAACACTGCCTCAACAAACGCGTCATCAAACTGTGACTGATCTTTTTTTATAATTTTAATGTGGACTGTACGAGAGATTTAGACATATGTTAAATATATTCTTACTCTGATTCGTAACTCTTTGGTGTCCTGTCTTTATTTGTATTTTCGCGCCATTTCGGCTGATTAAATTGTCATTTCTGTAATAATTTCTTTATTTGATGTTGTTAATTTGACCTGTAACTAGATATTTAGTTGCTCTTAGCTTCTTACGAAATATTTAATTTCATCAATTAATTTGACAGTAATGGACGTCGATGAAACTCTTTTCTGTTGTTGCTAGATTAGATATGGCTGCGGCAGGAAGTTAAGGATTATTTATATTATGTATTAAATTTCACATTCATTGTATTTTATTAAAGCAGTTCATTCTGCTGTGGCGACCCTGATAAATAGACTAAGCCAAAAAGAACGTCTACTCCTACCCCAGCCCTCACAGCACTGTAAAACAGTAGTTATTTAATAAATTACCCAATAAATTGTATTTTACCTCCACCCAATCCTAAACCCAGGTATCAGAGTACTGTAAAAATATTAATTATTGTTATTTAGTCTTACAAAAATGATGCTATATTGATGTATCAGCATTGATGTATGATGTATCTAGCTGTATCCCATCTAGACCTTACCAATGGACTCTTCTGGAAGTGTTTCTGTATTTGCGCGCTTTGTCCAACAGGGGGCGGTCATGGTTTGTCAAGTTATTTCACGCGAATTATTTGATAACTCGTAATTAAGGAAACAATATAATACTACTACTACTACTACTACTAATAATAATAATAATATTAAATGTAGAATTTATAAATAAATTAAATGCAAGAAATTACGTGTATGTTATAATAATGAAGCTAATGATTGCATTGCTATTGCATTGCAGCTATATTGTATTGCAACTATTGTTACTACTACTACTGCTAATATTTTCAGATATTGTCAGATGGTTACACAAAATGTTTACATGTCAAGCTTGTAAAACGAATATTATATTTTATTAAAATAACAAAAAACAAGACTTTATTATAGACATATTTTACATTCCCAATATTCACAAATCTAAAGTATATATTATATTATATATTTTTATATTATTTTATTCATTCATTCATTTTCTTGTTGGCTTTGTCATTTTATTAATTCAGGGTCGCCACAGCGGAATGAACCGCCAACTTATCCAGCACGGTTTTAAGCAGTGGATGCCCTTCCAGCCGCAACCCATCTCTGGGAAACATATTTTATTTTATTATATTATATTATATTATATTATATTATATTATATTATATTATATTATATTATATTATATTATATTATATTATATATTATTTTATATATTTTTACATTTTATTATATTATATGTTATATTATATATATTTTTATATTATATTATATCATATTATATATTATTTTATATCTTTTATATTATATTATATTATATATTATTTTATATATTTTATATTATATTATATATTATTTTATATTATATTATATTATATATTTTTATATTATATTTTATTATATTATATTTTATATATTATATTATATCATATATTCATCACTTTTACTCAGTTTAGTACAAAAACAATGTCTCAAAGAAGCGTCAAGCGACAAGTGTATGAATGAATGCATAATCTAATAAATATTAATTTCACCAGCCTTGACGTGATTGGTGGTTTGCCAGTTTCAGCCACGCCTTTCCCCACTCACATGAGCTCCACATAGGCAACGTAAAGGAGTGCGGCCTGTCGTAAAACATCTAGGGGACAAGAGAAAAAAACACACATACACTCAGCCTACACAAACACACACACACACCTTCAAGCCACCCGAGCCCGTGCCGTGGCTTTGTAACCAGACGTCGCAGTCCAGTGCAATGATATTCGTCATATGCATCCGGGTTGTCAGGCTAGTCTGGTTACAAAAATGAGTCAAAAGCCAGTTTGGGTTGTTGAAACTGCCCAGCTTTAAATGTCACTGGCGCTTCAGATCCTGCAGCATTCCTGGATTCTTGGATTGGGAGTTTCGACGAGCTGCTTTTGTTGAGGCAGGTGAGTTTCACACACAAACACATACACACACACACACACACACACACAGCTTAATGTATGTTTGGATGCTAACGTTAGTAGTCAGGTATACACCGCTGACAGTTGTGACTATATTATTTAATGTTATATGTGGCAAATGTTTAGATTTCTTAACGTTATCCAAGTCTTTTATAAATATTTTAGTCACGAAAATAAGGTAAAGTTGCTCCCCTATATGTTTACCAGGGTAATTTGAATATTCAGTCTGAAATAGCATGTTAGTATGACTTCAAAACAACATTAGCACTATTTAATTGACTGTGAACAAGGCTGTACTTTGAAATCATTGGCTCCTAATATGATTTTCCTATTTATAATTAGTATATACTACTTAAATTAAATTATATTATTAAGGAGAAAGTCTGAATATGCAAATATAAAACTATCTTCGCCTCAATATATGTTATGTGTTCTGACACACAGCTTTATGTATGTTTAGATGCTAGTAGTGTCGTATACACCGCTGACAGTTGTTATGATATTGTTTCATGTAATATGTGGCAAATGTTTGGATTTCGTATTGTTATACAAGTCTTTTATTACTACTTTAGTCATGAAATTGAGTTAAAGCTGCACCTTATATTGTTTATCAGGGTAATTTGAATATTTGGGCTGAAATAACATATGCAACATGATGCAAGTATGACTCCAAAACAACATTAGCACTATTTAATTGACTGTGAACAATGTTATACCTTAACGGTCATTGGCTGTGATATAGAACTGAGTGTGTTTAAAGTGGCTTAGGAATCGTCTGATTGGTGAATGATAAATTGGATAATGAGGGACCAGCCGCAAGCAATAAGCACGTCATCCTCTCGAAATTAGTTTATAAATAAACTTCATTCATTCATTCTTAGTCCCTTTATTAGTCCGGGGTCGCCACAGCGGAATGAACCGCCAACTTATCCAGCAAGTTTTTACGCAGCGGATGCCCTTCCAGCCGCATCCCATCTCTGGGAAACATCCACACACTCATTCACTCACACACTATACCCAATTCACCTGTACTGCATGTTTTTGGACTGTGGGGGAAACCGGAGCACCCAGAGGAAACCCACGCGAAGGCAGGGAGAACATGCAAACTCCACACAGAAACACCAACTGAGCCGAGGTTCGAACCAGTAACCTTCTTGCTGTGAGGTGACAGCACTACCTACTGCGCCACTGCCTCGCCTAAATAAACTTCACTTATTTCTTATTTTACTGACCCTCAGCCACATAGATATATAATAATATAAGAACTAAAATTTAATTTCTAGACTTTGTAAATTCAAGGAAATTACATACATTTTTTGTTTTTGTCATTAGAAATGAAATAAATATCAATTTTGTTAAAAAAACTTTTAAAATATCAATAAAATAAAAAGCATGTTTGGAATTAGTCCGGGATTTTCAACAAGTACGTTACAAAAATAATTTGAATATTATAATGAAGAATCAAAAAGACTGACAGCATCAAATCATAACATATTAGAGCATCTATTATTCTATTATTCCACAATAAAGGCTGATTTATACTTCTGCGTCAAACGCTGCATATGCTACGGCGCTGACGCATAGCCCTTCGCCGTGGCCATCGGCGTCACTGACGTGCACCTCTCAAAAAATGTAACTACACGTCGCAACAACGCGTAGCGCAAGCTCTGTGATTGGTCGGCTTGGTAGCGCTGACGAGTCTGGGCGGGACCAAGGGTCGTGCGAATGGCGCGAGCGATTGTTTGCAAGTGTGGAGTCCCGTGAAGGAGCTCCGGATGGAAAGTTTTGTTCTGTGTTTACCTCATAGTTAAAGTTGTTGCACGTCCGCCGGTTCCTGCCTCAAAATGAGCGAGTTTGAGCCACTTGTACATCCCAGAAGTGTTCAGGAAAAGCAAAACAGCAGCGAAGAAACTCGACACAGAGGAACATTTACACCTCACTGCCCACTAGCGTTTTGGAAGTGTTAATGCAGAGCAACAGAGACAGTGCGCAGAAGTATAAATGCACAGCTACACACGTTGCCTGCGCCGTGAGTTTACGCCGGTCACTTGACGCAGAAGTATAAACCAGGCTTAACTGCAAACAAAAAGTTAATATAGAGCTTTGGATTTTGTTACTGTATGTCATAAAAAAAAAACATATTCGACATTTAGACAGAAACGCTAAACTGTGTCAGAACATACAACACTTCTTACAACAGAATTTTCTTGAATAATTATTAATAACATTCATTCATTCATTTTCTTGTCGGCTTAGTCCCTTTATTAATCCGGGGTCGCCACAGCGGAATGAACCGCCAACTTATCCAGCAAGTTTTTACGCAGCAGATGCCCTTCCAGCCGCAACACATTTCTGGGAAACATCCACACACACATTCTCACACACACAGACTCATACACTACGGACAATTTAGCAATTCACCTGTAACCCGGAGCACCCGGAGGAAACTGGCACGAACGCAGGGAGAACATGCAAACTCCACACAGAAACTCCTCGAGGATCGAACCAGCGAGCTTCTCGCTGTGAGGCGACAGCACTACCAACTGCGCCACTGCATCGCCAGGTCTAGAAATTGCACTTGTATAATTTTCTCTCCTACAGTTGTCCAAGTCAGTCAGAATTTTGGATCATAAATGTATTTATAGTTGTTGAGGATCAGCAAAATAGTCATTTTTGATCATCTCATGCCACGTTAAGGCTTGCGTATTAAAGTCAGCAGTATAAAGATGTCTCTGTGAGCGTGTTGAGTTGGCCTGGGATGATGATGTCATGCTTGTTGGTTTATTTTGGGAAATCTTTCCTCTTCTCTCAGAGTCATGCATTACACTGTGATCTGCGGCATGCAAATGTGTTTTGCCTATTTGCAATGATATAAACACCTGCCTGTTTGTTTATTTATTTTTAACGTGTGCTCTATTTGTTGACAGGGCTTGGAAGAACAGAGGGATTTATTTATTTATTTATTTTGAAAGTCATCTGGGATTGCTATAGTTCACATGATGGATGGGATTTCG